GCTCTGATTTATATACCCTATCCTAGAGTAAACTGCTTGAAAACCATACCCTTCACAGCGGCACATACCTATATAGCCCATATATGGCAGTAACCCCCCGGGCTTTTAACGCTTTTCGACAATGATACATCAAATATCTCGCACGCGCACTGACTCGCACACTACTGAGAACAACGTCGATTAAAAAATGACTTTATATTTTACCTACGAACCTCGCGATATAAAGCCATTTTCCTTTGTTTCTTAGCGTCAAAACCATCACGAAATTGAACCTCAGACAGCGCGAAACATTTGCAATGAAAATTAAAAAACTAGCCGTCGTGGATCACGTTCTCCGGACAACGCAGAATTTGGTCATTTCACGTTGTTGTTTTGCAGAGGACGGCAAAGAAATGTACCAAGAATTATAACGCACGTGCACAGCCATTGTTCTGCTCATTAAACCTTTTGTTAAGCGACGTTCGCGTTGCCGTTGCCGTCGTGGTATTTCTTAAACTCCCTACTGTGTCCTGAGGGCCTTCTACTGGCCAGTATCAGAAAACTCGATCTCACCATTTATTTTGTCCAAGAATACGAATCAGTCAAGATTTACAGAAACAACACTTGTTCCAGTAGTACGTCTTACCACAAAGTCCTTATGAAACACAACAATTGTTTTTCTCAATCTTTTAAGATCCAAATTACTATGAATTTTTAAGGCGGCATAATGCACAAATGGCAGAGAGAAGATACTTGAAACGTGATGAATTCAGCAGGTGAATAAGCGATATTATTTGCTTTGTGTTAATTGAATAGGTTCCTTCTTCACACATGGAGATCCAGGAGACCGTATTTATAATCCGCAGTACTAGTTATTGCCAAATTACGTTCATGACTCGTAACTTAATAAAGTTTACGCCACGAGTCGCGCTAGCTTCCAGATGAGATTAAAAAAGATTTGACAGCCGGATGAAAGGCGGAAATAATGGTACAATTTTGGAAAGTCCGATTTCGCCGCAACGTAAGAAAAGAAGTGATATTTCGTTTGCGCAGCTGTTAGTTCATTTCACGAGTCCTCGAAAACATGATTGTAATGAAGTACCTGTTCAAACCACGTGACGTTAAGGAGAGCGCAGAGTTTCCAGGTGATGCAGGGACTATAATCTAGAGCTTAAACTAGTGCCGTTTGTCCTACCCACAGGATTTTCCGTCAAAATGAAGTATTTGAAGCTGATTTCACTTACCGCAATCTCGGTCTGAGCAGGTGTTCTGGAGTGATGGTTTCAGCAAGTCAATAATTAGATGGGAGTTCACCTCTGTATACCAGATTAAAATTGAAATTGCTTTTATTGCTTGCTGGGACGTTTTCACCATGGAGCTGCTTATGAAGGGGTTGATATGTATTCTATTGAAAGTTGTAATCTCTGAGAAGTCTACACTTCATATTGGCAGATTTATTGACGTCAATACGACTGACAAGGGTTGGAACAGCGCTGGAATACGGCCTGCGATTGATCTGGCCGTGAAACAAATCAACAGCAGGACTGATATTCTACCGAACCATACAATTCAGATCCACTGGAAGGACACGAAGGTAACTTGACACGAAATAGTGTGCACTTGCTGATCAATTCAAGATAGTCCGCTGGTAGAACAATTCGATAGTTGCTGTTTTTTGTAGCGGTAAAACGTATGTAGCAGAGTTTCTTAGCAAAAGGTAATTATTCTATCTCTACCTATAAAATCCTACTTTGCATAATCACTAGTTTGAGTAAAGTTTTCGTTGCGGCATTTTAGAAACTTTCCTATTCGGAAAGCTTTCTAGCTAGGCTCTCTTATGAGAAATGTGTTAATAAAAAAAAATATGATATAGGAATACATTTCACCTCCAGTTCGGTTTGGTGGCGAAGTGTTTTGACTACTCACTACAGATAAAATCGAGATAGTTATGAGTTATATAATATACTTATTTCAAGTATCTAATCCAGTAGATTTGTTTCTTCATTCAAAAGATATTATTTGCTTTCTGTTCAAATTTTCAGAATTTTGATCACAAGCCGGAACTAATTCTTTAGTTTTCCCAGCTGACCAGAGAAACATCAGCAATGCTCAACTGACAGCGAGTTAGAAGCTGTAGAAGTGGCATTGCCTTACATTCGACAAAGGTATCTTGCAATGGTACAATTCGGAACAGTTTCTGTCAAAGGGCTTGAGTATTGAGTATTGGAGTATTGGAGTGGCACCATTTAAACACCGCCATACAAACATTTGAATATTGGGAAAATATATTATGTTCAAATTTAGGAATTCCTTTTTGCTTTAGGATTCTGTTTTCAGCGGCAAGATATTTCTTATTTCTAACTAAGAGTTGATCCTTTAAGCGGTCTAATTCAAGATGAAAATTTTAATTTTAATTTTTAATTTATTGTTTTATCAAAATAAAACAATAAATGAGGTTTTCCTAATCTTATTTTGTGTTTTCCTCAGTGTTCAGATGCTTACGTGATCAAAGCTCTAATTGAGCAGTTGCGGAGACCGCCGACAAAAGTGGCACTATTAGGTCCCGGATGTTCGATCTCGGCAATGCCAGTGGCAGCCGCGTCACATTTTTGGAACTTGATACAGGTTTGTGATGCGTGGGGACTGGACCGGGTTAAATGATGACAGCGCCATGTTAAAATTGTTGGAGCCCCCTCGAATTTTGATACCTAGTAATTCAGCGATTCCTTCTTGAGCCAACCAGCCTCTTCAGTGTCAATCCGACGATACCGCACTCTACATTAATATAGATACTTTCATACCAAGTCACCCTCCATAAGATATTCTAGGCTTCCTTTACTTACCTTACCACTTTGTATGTGTGTGTGCCAATCCTCCCTTAGTTATGGCCCATAGTCCTTTTCATCCAATACAACGTTTTAAACTGGAATTTAAAGCGAAAAGCCCAGAGGCATCCCTTACTAAAACTCCATTCATAAGGCTGTAGTTGAACGTTAGCACTGTCTACAGCTCTTACCTCCTCATTTCAGTTCACGATTTATTTCAGGTGGGGTTTAGTGCTGCATCACCACGTTTGTCGGACAAAATTCGCTACCCTTTGTTCTTCCGAATTAACGCTCCTGAGACCATCCTAAACAAGGCTATCGTCACACTGCTGCGAAGATTCGGCTGGAAACAAATTGCCATTGTTAAACAAGACGAGGATCTCTTCAATGACGTAAGAAGAATACATTAACATGTTAATGTTGTGTCACAACTACCAGCTTTAACCAGTCTATTTAATTTTCGTATCCTCTGTATTGGACTGGAACTAGCTTGCAAGTGAGGCTAATGCGGCGAGTCTTTTCAAATGCAAATGACATTAATCTCTTTTTAATGATGTCCCCGGTATGAGCTAAATCCACTCCAATACCTAGAATACGAATACGGTCGGTCTAATGTGGCCTATTTCAGTGGATTACGTAACCTCATTTCCAGGTTGAGGTACCACGCGGATCGCCCTGGGGACGAGAGTCACTAGAATTTTGCCCGAATGCTGACATCATCTGGATAGACGGCGTGGAAAAGACGAAAACTGAAGAGTTCTTTAGCAAGCTCCGAAAAAACATCCGAAGTAGTAAAAAAAGTTTTGGAGGGTTTCATTGCAACTGATGAAAATTTGCTGAAAGTTTCTGTGATTTCTTTAATTGCCAGTGTGATTGTGATTTCTTTGTGTTGCTGCCACACAACAAAAAATACTACCCCTTGGTTACTGATGTTCTAAACTCAAAAGCTCTGCCTTTACAGATAACTTCACCGTTTTTTTCTGTGGTTCTTGGTAGGCTCATGAACATCTGCAGACAATACTTGAGCAACAAGGAATCTCTGTGATTGTTACAAACAGCTTTGTGAAGGATCCGGATATTGTCATAGCCATAGTTAGTAGTTCCCCTCCACTAACTATGGTAAGAATGACGGCATAAAATCTGCACCATCACAGGCTAATGGAAATATGGCTTCGAAAATTACAGCTCACATTTCTTTGGAATTTTGCATAACTTTCGTCGCAAGATCAAATTCTTTTACAAACTATTTCAACCATTCATGACCATTTTAATCACTGAATTTCATTTCATGAAGTTTTTATTCCAAAAAATATGGAAAATTATCATAATCCCGTGAAGCTATCGGGCTATAATTCTCCTTTATGCGCTTTCTCACGGCGCACTTCAAAAGAATGCCGTGAAGATGAATACACTAAGTAGCTAAATGAACAGAAAAATACAACTAATATAATTAAATTGACTCAGAAAAGAAATTTGTAACACGCGAGAAAACTACTTCGCAAACTCTAAGCTCGTTCGTTGTGTTGTTAAAATTTGTGACATACACGTCTTTGTGTTACAGGAGAAGAAGGCTCGTATTATGATCAGTTTGATGTACGCGGATAAATCCAGACTTATCATGTGCGCGGTGAGTTAATAGTGATTCATTTATTTTTACGAAAACGACATGCTCCTCATTAAGTTCGTGTCGACTCGTCCCACTTATAACTCTCTATTGTCGTTGCAGTTATTTTAGTGCGTCACTTGGAAAAAGGGATTATTCATTCATTTTGTCACTAAAAAAGAGTTTAACAGTTGCTGTTGTTTTTGACTCTTAAGAGGCCTACCGTCACAGACTGTATGGCTCTCACATACAATGGATGCTACCCGGATGGTATGAGAAGGACTGGTGGCGAATTAGAAATGTGCCAGGCTGCTCAGCTGAGAACATTCGAACCGCGGCAGCAAATTTCCTGGCCGTGGAGGACTTGGTTGTGGACACCACGACAAATAACACACTCAGTGGACTGGTGAGGAGAGAGAACAGTGTATCTGAGCCACTGATCCCTAGTGATACTAACTTGATAAGTAGCAAATTTTAATTTTCCTTTCAGACAGCAGAGGCGTTTATGAATATGTACCAGGCGAAGCTTACACATTACCCACACTCCCCCAATGGTTACGCGCCCCTGGGATATGACGCGGTCTGGGTACTAGCGTTAGGTTTGGACAAGACATTGACGCAAAGAAAAGAACAGGTCTGTTGATAGCTTCTCGTACAAGGATGCCGAGTTTGCGCGAGACCTGTCTAGAATGCTGTTACACACAACTACTAAACGCATTACGGTAGGTTCCGTGGTTAGGGACTGTGCAATAATTTACCTGGAGGGGAAGGGGTGGGGGGCTGGGAAATGGGTGAAATATGTCCCAAAACTAAGTCATACCCCCCTCCCATTAAGCAAAAATTAATTTCAACCCCCCTCGCCGGCATAATGATAATATTAAGGCTAACCCCCCTCCTCTTGAAAAAGTCTCCTCCCATTGATTCCCTCATACCTAGTTTACTTTTTGGAGTTCTTCCTCCGGTACAAGCATCACTTCAAATGACTCTTCGACGTATGTCAAAGAGTCATTTGAAGAGTCATCAGAATCACTGGACTCTGAGCTTGTGTCGTCTTAGTATGAATTGGGAGATTCCTCATCTTCTACAGCATCTCAGGAACTAAGGTTCCCGCGTGCGTGGGCGAGACCTAGATCAATCAACTCAGCCTTATTTCCACTTATCATAAGACCTTTTTGATTTAGATACATTTTCAGCTGCATGTTGGTAAGCGCTTTTACATCTTTTTCAATTGTGCAAGAAATAAGCGGAAGAGAGTTCCTTTCTCTTACTCTTTTTTTGGCTTTTGCATCGAGGAACTCAAGGTGCTGTACATAACTTTCACATGCAGTCTCGTCCACGTTGTACTGGGAACATACCTCTTGCAAAGACCTTTCTTCAGATAGGAAAACAACAATTCATAGATCAGAACACCTTAGAGTTGATACCTTTGTCAGTTTTATTTCAATGTTAGTATTTATATTTGACCTCTAATAACTCTTCCACTACTTTTCCAGTTTGCAAAAAGGAATGAAAAAGTTATGCCCCCTCTGTATGTATTAAATTTTACATCCAACCCCCCCCTCTCTTGTTGTCATTTTCTCCTATGCACCCCCCTCTAATTTTCCAACCTCCCCTCCAGGTAATTATTGCACAGTCCCTTACGCTCAAGTAGCAACGTCTTTAGCCTGTTCCAGGCACTCGGTCAGTGAAAACGATTGAAAAAACGGGCGTGCGACGAACGGGGCCCGGTAGAGAAAAGGAGAGGGCGAAAAAGAAGAGAAAAAGAAACCGTCATTTTTCACTTTATTAATAGTAGTTTATCCTTTGTCCTCTTCTTACTGTTGCTCGTTTTGATGATGTTTGTTTAATCAAGAGAACCGTTCAACTTGTCTCGGCAAAACTAAGACTAGTTTTCTAAGCGATCCCGAAGAGGCTTACTGCCGCGCTCTTAACAGATGGTAATTAACTGGCCATCGCTGTATGCAGTTAGTTAAAAAGTATGAACAAATCACTTCATTTTTCAGGGCCGAGGGTGTTATAAAATTCAATAAGAACAAGGAAAGGCTGAACAAGATATGGATTGAACAGTTTCAAGGTAAGCATCAGAGTTTTGTTTTAGTAATGAGAGTTGTTTATTATATGGCTAGCTCCGTGAGCAGGCAAGACGAACCAAATCCTGTGCTGTGATTGGCTACCGGAGCAGGCAAGATGCGCTATCTAGCCCGCTCGGGATTAGGCGCTGTGTCCCGCAAGAAAATTCTCTTCCAAGCCGAAGCAGAAGCCGAAGATAAATCCTATAGTAATCAAGCTTGTTCGTTCAAGATGGCTGGATGTTAGCATCGTTATTTTTTTGCGCGTTTATGGACCTTGACTCCGTCTCGGTCCATGGGTTTTCTGTACCCCACTCCCTCTCTGTGCCCCCTGCCTACAAAGCATTGAACCTAACTAGATTTATCATGACAGGACAAAAGCACTTCGGGGTATTTTTTTAATATAAGCTAGACCCTTCAAACGCGATTTCCTCGCGCAATTCTAGATCATTAAGACCAGTTGGCTGTTAACAAGCATGATCGAGGAGTTGAACTAGGGTCTACCGAGAAACTACTCCAGCTAAGTGGTTCGGGCGAGAATTGAACCCGCGACCTCTGGACTTCAAGTCCTGTGCCCTAAGCACTCGGCCACGCTGCCTTCTTAATAACCTACATTAAAACGGTAATTATCCGGATACGATATTCATCATGCGGTGAGAGACAATAAGAAACTGAATACTACTAAAACGCGGAAGGTTAGTTAAATGGCCGAACTACCGGCACGAGTCTAGCTAGTCCAGTCACTGAATTCTCCATTCCCTGCTCCATTTAAGGGTTGAACCCAGGCGGGAGGAAGCCCAGTGGTCTGACTGGCGTGAGGAAGAATGGTCTTTTCGATTTCCGTTGGAAAAACTGGGAAGTTTCTTCGTGGTAGTTTCAGTGTTTCCCTCATTTTCTCTGGTTTTTACTGACTAAAGAAGACCTTTCTTATATATTGTGTGTTACAAAGCGTAACATGTAACATTATTTCTTTCCATAAACATGGTTATTTGCAGATGACAGACCTCCAAGAGATGAAGACCTTGTTAGTGAACCTTTAGTAAAAGTCAGTAACAAGCTGTTCTATCTAATGAGCTCCGTCGCTGCAGTCGGTTCACTAACAGCTTTTGGATTTCTTTATATCAACTATCACTACAGACATCACAGGTAACTAACCTACAAAAACGCAAGCAAATAAAAAAACACCCAGGAGAAAAAAAAACTGGTAACGCCTCATTGTGCTTATCATTAGAAGCATGTTCAAGCTTGGTCAAGTTTTTCTTATGGTTCAAAAAGATATCTTCCAGAAATACTCAGACTATGTACTTTTTGTATTGTAGTAGAACTACAAGGAAACAATACTGTGTACAGTCATTATTTCATTGAAAGTCGCCCATTCGGACCTTTTTTCCCCGTTTTTCTCTGCAATACTTTTAACAGATTTACGTGCTGTACACCCTTATCGACCACAGCTCTCGAACGTCATTGTAAAACATTTCTTTGACTTTGTTTTTGTTTTTATGATGTTTTTCCAAACTTAAGCAATCTCTTACGGAGAAAGCAAGTGTTAAGTGAAAGAGACTTGTTGGCCAAAGCATGTATATAGCTAAATTCACTATCACAACTCGTTTTATTGCATGGCAGGTGACTCTCTTTCTAGCGCCTGACTGTGGCCAGTAAAGAAACAATTCTATGTTTCTAGTGTTTCTTTTTCGCCCTAGTATCATTAGACAATCATCTCCAAGGCTCAATAACATCATTGTCATTGGCTGTATGCTGGCGTACCGCTGTGTGTTTGTGTTCGGCGCTGAGACCTTCGTGGAATCACTCGATACACTCAGGATATTTTGTAAGGTGTGACGATTGTTTTATACGCTCTACCCTACTTGTCTGTTAATTTTCTCTAAACGGCCCACCCCTCCCCCCTTGAAATGCTGATAAACCGATCGTCATACACAGTACCTCCCATGGCGAACGCTAGTCCAGTCTCTGCTCGATCCCTCTTCCCGCTCCAGACATGCTGTCACACTTCTAAGTATACTTTCTGACCGAGAACTATTATTGACTAGAACAGCCTTACATTTGATTACTTGTCGATAGACCAGTTTTCCACAAAATTTATGGCCACCATCTCTGACCACGTCACCTTTATTTGTTGTAATTTTATTCCATTTTGTTTGAGCTTTCCCTATTTATTCTTGCATTTAAATTCTATTTATTTAATCTTGCACTCACGTCACTGGGTGACTAAGTGTAAATGGCTACTTGAGGTGAGCCTGACGAGGTCGAGAAGTAATGTTTCACTAGTTGAGGCAGGTTGCCCTCGACGGAAGGAATGTCTTGTCACGGCGCAGAGAGCACTTATATCACTGTGCGGTGAATAGACGTTTTCCCTTCGTTTACCTCTCGTGGTATTTATATTTTTCAGTGGTCTACGGATAAGATGGTGGATGTTTTCGCTGGCCTTCACTCTGGTATTTGGCACGATGTTTGTGAAAACATGGCGAGTCTATAAAATATTTACTAACAAGAAACTATTTAAACAGGTCAGCTGCATTTTAAATTTTCTGTTTTCTTTTCAAATAACACAGTGCCGGTCACTGACTTGTGCTTTCAGGCTAGAAGGTCCCCTCATGTCATTATGTACCTTTTTTGTAACTGCTGTGGTACCTTAACAGGGGTGTTAATTAGTTACTGGTTTTAAGAGGACACAGTCAGCTTTGGGACAGCGTTGACCTGGACACTAGTTTTCTCAGTTTGAAAAGAGTTCACCTCAACCTGAAATAAAAGATTCACGTCGAGTACATCTAGAAATCCGCTTCAGTCTTCGCAGTGTTTTGCTTGATTGTCAATCGTTTACTGAAAAACCTGTTTTTGAGCGTGCTTTTGCTCATCCTATGATACTATTTTATCATATTTGGTTAGAAACAGCATGGATCGCTTCTCTGTGATAGGCAACTTAGCTATGGAATGGTATCTAATGAGCATGTGCTCCAGCTGACTGTGTCCTTCCATTCCTTTAAGCCCTTCATTGTGTACCTTTATTGAACCCCATAACCGTGTATCTAGGGTGATATCTTGATCGCAGGTGTTTTGGAGATATGAAGTATAATACTGCTAGTTTACCTGTAATATCATTTATTTATCTTTTTTGCTGTCTGTAGCTGGGCCCATTGCACCACCGTCACTTAATCGGAATTGTGTATGGACTTGTCTGTTTAGATGTGACATATCTAACAACCTGGGAAATAACAAACCCCATTACTAGTACATTGAAATATCTAAGAAAGGTAAGCAACAACAATATAAACAACAAATCAGTGGCGGATCCAGACCTCGAGCTAAGGGCGGGGTGGGTGGGGAGGGGGGGTGCGGGGTTGTTTTGCTTGTCCTGCCGGCTTTTCTTCCCTCTCTGTTTTCTTTTTTTCCCAAAATAAAGGGGGTCGGGCCCCCCGGGTCCCTCTCCTAGATCCGCCACTGCAAATGAATCGGTAAGGATTTTAGAGAGCTCTAATCCACAGGCCGCAGACGAGGGATATGGCAGTCCTCTGGGGGTACCTCTCATGTAAAAAGGACGGGAGGCGCTCATCGTACTTTGTAGGGGTTTGAAAGAGCGATTTTGGTAACCATCAGGGTGTTCCGCCTTAAGAGGTCCACAGCGGAAGCTTTGGCGGAACTTTTAGGGTATTGAGCCCTTTTAGGGTATTGAGCCCATTTAGGGTATTGAACCCTTTTAGGGTATTGAGCCCTTTTAGGGTATTGAGCCCTTTTAGGGTATTGAACCCTTTTAGGGTATTGAGCCCTTTTAGGGTATTGAGCCCAAAAAAAGTCCAGTGACTTTAAGTGGAAAAAATAGGAGATATTTGAAAAGAAGATATTTGATAGGAGATATTTGAAAAATTAACTTTACGAGTAAAAGGTATTTGAAGCAATCAGCTTTATCGCTATCAAAAATAATAAGATTGTCAGTTAATGTGTTGTTTTAAAATTGGTATGGTGGAAAGAATTTCAAGCCATGCCCACAAAACAGGATTTTGGTATCTCTTAGAGGTTGTTTTCAGAATTTCCGACGAGCGTCCGCGTCCATTTTATATGGGAGCCCCCTTCGGGATAGCAGGGCGTCCACGTGCAAAATGATTCAGTCCACTTGGCAAGTTTTATTTCAGAACAAGCTTTCCTTCCATTCATTCTGGGCTATTTCTGTCTTAAACGACTTGAGCTGACGCTATTCTTGATAATGATGTGAGCTACTACCTCGAGTCGCTTTAATGGTGAATGGTTTGAAAATTTATGGCACGCACTGTCTGAACACGCGCACTGGGTGAGGAAGAACGCTTCCTTGATCAGTGACGAAAGGTTTACGTAAACTAAAAAAAATAGAATTAGAGAGGTTTTCATTTGAGAGTGGAAATGTAGTTGGTTTTGCATTACTAAACTCGCGCCAATTTTTCACCCAATCGGAAGTAAAACCGAAACCAATCATGATTCGTTCGCACACGTTTTGCCGCGCTTCGAGTTTCGATTGGCTCACTGTATTGTGTATGTCATTTGGAATTGGCTGGAGCGATTACGTCGGTTTTGGTTCCACGACACTCAATTAAAAACCGCTGCCGATGATAGTACTTTTATAATTACTGCTCAAAATTTTAACTAACGGGTAACTTTGCTTTTAAACTGATAGGAAATATCCCCTGATGGTAAGAAAGTTACTCAAGGTCAGTTTATGATCTTTACTTCTGGCAACGAAGGCCTGTCGCTGAGCTTTTGGCTGATATGGAAAAGCCTGTTTTTGGTTATTGGAGTCTTTCTGGCTTGGGAAACACGACATATGAGGTTTCGTTCACTAAACGACTCCAAATACATAGGAATGAGTGATTACAATGTAGTCCTCATGACCTTGATTACTGTTTCTTTGTTGTTCGTGGTGGGAGAAGGACATCTCCAAGCTAAATACGCATTGTTTTGCACCTCGTTCAACGTCATCTCTACTTTCACCCTCCTGTTGTTGTTTGTACCTAAGGTGAGTGGGAAAAACGTTGTCGCCACTATAGTGACTTTGTCTATCGTTGACTTGAGTTCGTAATAGTTTATTTTGGTTAGTACTAGTTTCATATCAAGTTACGTTTTTTGCACGCCTTGCGTATCTAGAATTATAATCTCGTGACGACGACGCGAATGCGATATGCAGAGCTCGTGGGTTTTAGTATTTTGGTCGCCATTACGGATGTTTGATTTGGGTTTAGTGGAAACACAGTTCTCAAAAGTGTTGCTCTATTTATTTGCATTTAAAGAAAAAATTAGCCATTGATCAAGAAGGCGTTGTATTGTTTTCTTTACCAACAGATTACCAAAATAGTGGGAGAATCAACTCACCCAGAACAAATACTTGATGTTGTTAACGGGGCGTTAAACAGTTCAGTCTGCTGTGAGCAACGTGGAGTCCACGAGTGTCCGTACTGCAAGTGCAGATAAACTGACAAAATGAGACTAAACTGAGTTGTGCCTATAGTGTAACGCTCGTGGAGACGGAAGAATAAGGCAGCGTCAACGCTACGCCGGAGAAATTTGAAAACGCAGCTTTATTTCTACGATTAGGTCTGCCGTCCACACTAATCCGTCACGAAAACGGAGTTTTTCAAAAACGCTCTTCAAACCAGAGAAAATTGAAAACGCCGCCTCTACGTTTTCGTGTTGGCGGAAGACATTTTGAAAACGGAGCTTTTCGAAAACACTCTTAAAACCGGAGAAATTTGAAAACGCCGCCTCTTCGTTTTCGTGTTGGCAGAAGACATTTTGAAAACGCTCTTAAAACCGGAGAAATTTGAAAACGCCGCCTCTTCGTTTTCGTGTGGGCAGAAGAAATTTTGAAAACGGAGCTTTACGAAAACGCTCTTAAAACAGGAGGAAATGAAAACGCCGCCTCTTCGTTTTCGTGTGGGCAGAAAACATTTTGAAAACGGAGCTTTTCGAAAACGATGACGTCACGATAATCATGGTTGAGCTTTCCTCAAACACAAATCCAAAATGACCGGTGATTGTTGCGTCTTTGTGGACGGAAAACAATTGATGCGTTTTCAGAGTGAAACCTTCGTTTTATTCCTTCTGTGTAGTGTGGACGGAGCCTAAGGATCGGTTCCTCCTTTTTGTATGCTCAGGACTNTAAAACTTCCTTTGGAAGGATATCTTAAAATAACGCCTAACTTTGCTACAGAATCACTTGAGATAAACATTAACAAAAAAAGTACAATTAAAAGAATGGTTGGGGAAAAAAAAAAAAAAAAAAAAAGAGACCATTTTCGGGTTGACTTTGCCTTTGTGTCAAAACTGGTCTTTATTCGAAACCATCCATAATCAAATGTGTTTTACCTGCATGTTCATTCTCAGGTAAATCAAGCTCTTCTTCATATGAAAAGTTGCCCTCTAGGACTAGTTCTCAAAAACTGAGAGGCAAACGGCAACTTGGAGGTGGCCGAATTTCAGCTATACTTGTGATATTCGCTTTGGCTGATCATTCCAGAATTTAAAATATGCTAGTTCTACTCTGGAATAATTATCTAATAAAGACGGTTTAATCAACAGCCTGAAACTCGGTCTCACCGCAGCGTTTTAACGTTTAGGAAAGGAATGGTTTTTCTCAAGCTCTTTAGAGTCTATGAATGCTGTAAACATTTTGAGTAGTTTGCCTTCTTTAGCAACAAATAAAGTGAAGTTAGAATAAGGGAATTAATAATTCACTAGGAAAGACGCTCTGATTCAAAATTAAATTCTCCCGAGGGGATTATTACAAAATATATGAAAAACATTAAGGGGAATTTCGATTTTAAGCTCAGCTACGTACAGTGGAGCTCATCTACATAGTGTGCAACCCCGCCGGCGAAATCTCTTCTTTCTTTCGTTAGTGAATGAAAGTGGGTCAGTCGGTGGGTTACGAAAAGGAATCGAAAAGCAGAGAAAAGAAATATCAAAAAAAGTAATGAAAACAATTTCAAGCGAGCCTTGATTATGCCTTCCTGCGATGCTCGTGACTGCCATTTGGCAGAAAACCGCTAACACCCTGAAAGGAGTTTGAAGACTTATTACGAGGGCTGCTAAAAATGTCCCACTTTTTACCAAAAGAAGCAACTGAAAAAGCCGATATAGACTGTTCACAGCCCTCTATCTCGCTTCGCTCGCAA